AATAGAAATAAAAATGGAATAATGCTACTTATGCTACTTACTCCATTGGTCTATTTTGAGGATTAAATGTTACACAGTAAAATGTTTAGCACCTGGTCTAGTATAGAATAAAGCCTCAAAGTATGCTAACATTTTTCCTTTTTCTTTTTGAGACAGTCTCATGCAACCCATACTGTATTGCTTCTAACTCACTGTGCAGATGAGGCTGACCTTGAACTCCTGATCTTCTGGGATTATAGGTGAGCCACCACCCCCAGTTACCTATTCTTGAATAGTTGCGACAGTCTCAGCATCCAACTACCTACAGACCAAACTCCAAAATCCCTGGCCCAGCACTCTGTGGTCTTCATCATTCTATCCTGTACCTCTTGTTGCTCCCTATGCAGGTGCCACACTCAAGCCAGATGTGCCTGTCTCCATCCATGGTTTTCCTCTCTGCTTAGATTGCTCCCCAGCTCCTCATACCTGCCAACACTATCTCCAGCCTTGATTCCCAACTAAGTCACTGACTGTAGACTGTATTTTACAACACTTAAAGCCCAGCCCATATTAGCACTCACCCTGTCGGAGGTTGCAGGACTTTTGCTGCAGTCGTGTCACTCAAGGCCCCCTCTAACAGTCAGCACACATGATATACCTCTGTGGGAACTGACCTTTCTCTCTATCAGTCCATGTGCTGTTGCAGGGGTGAACACATGGCTCAGGGCTTAGACAAAGTCACCATGGTTCATTTAAAAGGTGGATACTGGGGCTGGAGAGGCAGTTCAGCAGTTAAGAACACTGACCATTCTTGAAGAAGACCTGGGTTCGAATCCCAGCACCCACATGGCAGCTAACTACTGTCCGTAACTCCAGTTCCAGGGAATCTGACAGCCTCTTCTGACCTCTGCAGGTATTGCATGACATGGGTGCACTTACCTACATGCAGGCAATACACACGTACACATAAAATAAAAATAATAAATAAAATATTTTTTTGAAAAGGTGGATACTTAGCAATATCTGGGCTGACAGGAATTAACCCTGAAACTTTTTCTTTTGTCTTTTTGTTGATTGTTTTTTTGACAGGGTCTCCCTAATCACAGGCCACCTGGAAGTCACCATGTGAACGAGGGTGGCCTTGATCTCACAGAGATCCACCTGCCTTTGCCTCTCAAGGGCTAGGATTAAAGGCACATGCCACCATGCCCAGTGTTCAATCCTGAAACTTTTTTGCAGGTGTCCTTTCTCCACGGTCATCGCTAAGCTGACATTGTGTAAAATCATAGCAGCAAGTAGCCAAATTTCTCGCCTTAAGGAGAAAGTGAGATTAAAATAAACCAACACAGAGGAACCAAGAAATAGAGAGATGCTTCAATGGCTTTGGTGGTATTATCTGAGTATCTGGATTCATGCCTGAAGTCAGAAATGTGTCTTTCAAATTACAAGACAATAAACCCAATGCTCTTTACTTCATTTTATTTATGGTAGTGTGAGTTGATTTTCTGTCATCTGTTACTGCAAGATTGCCAACCAACACAGTGGCCTGAGTAGACAGTAAGCTTTTCGAGAGCAGGGATTGTACTCTTAAGATTTGTAGGGTCAGGGATGTCCTGTGTACCCCAGGAGTGCAGTGTCGACCACAAAGATGATCAGAAACAAGTGAGATATGAAGAAGAATTCGCATCTCTCTGTAGTTTCCCAATGAAACAGGACTCTAAAATTCTTGGGAAAAAGAACATCACAAGAACAAGAATCAAATGAGAAGTGTGCTAATTCCTTTAAGGTGAACAAGCCTCTTTGCCTCTGCAGATCCTCTGGGTACATGATATGACTGATGCTCACTTTCTGAACACAGTGAAATGGTCTTACTGGAAGATGTGCTGAAGGAGCCCCACGGGGCTGAAAGAGACACACTCCTAATCAACTAATATGACAGTCCCCCAGTCCCCAGATGAGAAAACTGAGACTGAAATTAAAGAGACTTATTTACAATTGTAGGGTGAGGGCTGGCAAGATGGCTCAGTGGGAAAAGGTGCTTGCCACCAGGCTCCACAAATCTGAGTTCAATCCCAGGACCCACATGGTGGAAGAAGAGAATGGACTCCTTCCTGTAGGTTGTCCTCTGACCTCCACCACATGCCACTGGCACACATGAAGTCATGTACTTACACACACAAATGAATAAATGTAATTCAAAAGAAATAATTCACTGTAAAGTGAGACATAGGCAGAGTCACTCAAGAACTTTTAAGCCATGACTTAAAGTCCAGAGGGCAGGCCTGTGTCCTAGGCCACTTTATTAAGGAAAATGAATCAGTCACTTGCCCAAAGAACTCAGAAATCTCTGAGCAAAATGTAATCAACTTCTCAGTTCTACCAGCTGCCCCCTCAGCCCTGAGGGGTAGGGCAATAACACAAAGGAAAGTGCCCTGGGCCAAGAGTCAAAAGAAACAAAAACAAAAACAAAACAAACAAAAAACCCCAAACAAAAGAAAACCTTGAGCATTAGAATGAATTTATCTTTTGCTGGTGGTGTGACTTTGAGTGAGCCCTTTTCCATCTCTTTCCATCTCTATGTTCAGTGGCCTCTCTGAAATGGGGGGTGGGGGAGGGATTTGAAGGAGCCAATCTCCAGATTGCTGAATTTCAGTAATTACATTTGGACTGTTCATCAAATCCCAAGATTAAATGCCACATAGATTACAGAGAATTTGAAGGCCAAGAGGTCAGCAGCCTATCTGCAGACTCCAAATTAAAGTTGATGAATTGGGGGTTCAAGCTGAGCATATATTTTCCTTCCAGCTTCTCTTGGGAGAAAACCAGAATGCAAACACACAATAGCACCTCTCTGGGTACCACTAAAAACATGGAACAATAGCTCCTACTTCCTTCAGCTCTCTTTCTTTGTTCTCTTCAAAAATTCTTAAAGATTCACATCTCACATGAGTGTGGTAAATGCAAACCATTAGAACATCCACATCGGGGGGCTGGAGACATGGCTTAGTGGTTAAGAGTACTTGCTTGCTATTCTTCCATTCCCAAGACCCACATCAGGAAGATCACACCTGCCTATAACTCCAGCTCCAGAGGCTCTGACGCCCTCTTCTGGCCTCCATCTTCAGCTGCACTGCACTCACCTGCATATACTCCCAGACATGCAATACACATATATTATAAATGAAAATTCTTTTTGAGCAGTACTTGGGAGACAGAGGCAAGTGAATCTCTGTGACTTCCAGGCAAGCTAGGGTTACATGTGCACCTTTAATCCCAGCACTTGGGAGGCAGAGGCAGGCATATTTCTGTGATTGAAGCCAACATGGTCTGCATAATGAGTTCTAGGCCAGCCATGGCTACATGGAGACCCTGTCTCAAAAAAAAAAAAAAAAACTTCACCCGTGTGTGTGTGTGTGTGTGTGTGTGTGTGTGTGTGTGTGTAAAAATAATGTCCACATCTAATTATGTGCTACTTTTTTCCAAGGGGCCCTTATAGGACTTTGGACAGCTCCCAAAGGGGCAAGAATCCCTCTTTATGTTTGTAAAAGTCCTCTTGGGGGAAGCAAACCAATCTTGTGCTCTTGTCCTCATACTTAGCTTTTATCCAAAGTGACAATTCTTAATTTGATTATTATCATACTCAGCACCTGACCTTGAGTGACTTCAAGCCATTTCCAAAACTCTCACTCCTCCTTGAAAAGATGGAGATTTCTTTTCAATAGAGATGTTTGAGAAATACACTTGGCACTGCAGAGCCAGGTTCCTACAGTGGAATTGCCAGCAAGTTTACATCCCTCCTCCAGGAGCCGAATGCTTGCTGAATATTCTGAAGTGCTTACTGTGAAAAGCCATCTCAGATGCAAGGTTATCATATCTTCTCTCCTCTTCCACATCCCTGGAGAGCACCAAACTTTTTCCTAACCTCCAACCATCCTCCTCTCTATCCTGCCACCCCTAGGCTCTACTTTCCCCTGCCTGACTCTCTTCCTTTCCTGCAATTAGGCAAATACTCAGGTTGCTGAGTTTTCAAAAATCTGTCTTCGATCCAAAATAGGCAGGAGCACAGGATTCTAATGGATCAGGAGAAACTGTCTCATCATTCCTTTTCCACCAAAGGCCCTTCTCTGATTCTCAAGAGAGATGACTGTCTCAGCCAAACATTTCAGAGAATTCAGGGACCTCATTACCACTGAAGGCAACACAGACATTAGGAGGGGGAGTAGGTTTGAAAGGATGGACTTCTCTTTGGAGTCTCATGTTGCCAGCTACCCACATGTCCAATACTGGGTGGAAGCCCTAGACAGCCTCCCCATTGTTATGACAGGATTTTAAAGTTTAGAAGATAGTTTTTCTTTTTTAAAATATTTTATTTATTATTTTTATTTTTTTATGTGTATGCATGTATTGTCTGTGTGTAGGTAAGTGCACCTGTGTCGTGCAAGGCCCTCAGAGGACAGAAGATGCTGTTGGATCCCCTGGAACTGGAGTTATGGACAGTTGTTAGCTGCCATGTGGGTGCTGGGATTCGAACCTGGGTCTTCTGCAAGAACAACCAGTGTTCTTAACCACTGAGCCATCTCTCCAACCCCAGCAGATAGTCTTTCCTTGCTCCTCTTCGAATCCCCTTAACTCTCACAAAATAAAGTGGAACACTGACGTCGGTAATGTTGGTGCTCTAAAGGCCCAAGCTAGGTCCCTTTACTCCCCAATTCATGCTTTCTTCCAACATAGCAGAAACTGACAACACTTAGAGTAATCCCTGCACAAAGACAGCCAACAGAGACCCCCAGAACAGACATAATGCTAGCCCCAGCCTCTGCACTTTCAAGCAGACAGAACCAAATACCTAGTTCTAAGGATCTGCCTTCTGCCTTAAGGGGGTCTCTCTGTCATCAAATGTTCTCCTCAATAGCTGCAAGAAGTGTCTTAAAACAGGAGAAGAATCTAGCTCTAACTCCTTAAAGAAGAAGTCCTCATATCTAGCGCCTTTTCTGAGAGTCCCGCGACCGCCCCTCCCCTACCTGCCAAAAGCTGCATCCAGGCGCAAATCTTGTAGACAGTGGCTGTGTTGCAGAAGAAGAAAAGAGCAAAGCAAGTGATGCAGCCCAGGATCAGCACCATGGAGAGCAGCACGAAGAAGGCGGCCGCCTTAAAGGCGCTGGACGGGATGGTACTGAAGTCGGTGAAAGAACCCCGGCAGGTGAGCTCGCGGCCCGCTAGCCCGCTGCCCACGCAGTAGTGGAAAAGACCGAAGTAGCCAGGCTTGGGGGTGCTCACGCTGTCGCCTACCCAGTAGGGCTGAATGAAGACCACCACGTTGATGATGGCGAAGCAGATGGTGAAGATGGCCCACAGCACACCGATGGCCCGCGAGTTCCGCATGTAGTGTTCGTGGTAGAGCTTGGAGGCCTCCTGCGAGGGCAGCATGGTGCCCGGGGGCGGGGCCGGCGGCTGCGGCTGGCTGGGGGCCGCCGGCCCGGGACCGACCGCCGGGCGGGAGCTGGGGACGCACGTAAGAAGCAGCCTTGAGTCAAGGAACTCGCGAGGGCGGAGCCTGGGGCGGAGCTGGGGGACCTGGGGACTGATATGGGGGAGCTAAGAGGGGGTCATGAGAGTATTGGGGCGGCGTCTGGGAGGGCGAGCAAAGATCTCCTATTGAGAGGCCTGGAAAAGGGTCATGGGAAAGTTGGGGGGTGCTGGGATGAGGACATGAGAGGCAGAAGTAGGGGGGAGGCCAGAAAGTGTTGGTGGGGGGTCAGAAAGGGGGTTTGGGGACTGGTACTGGAGTAAGAGGGAGCCATGGGGACAGGGAATGGAGGATGGAGATCAATGTTGGAACATTCGCAGAGGCACCCAACAGAGGAAGCTTGGGAATTTGGAGGCTGGTATTAGGGGTAGGAGTTCTGGTACTGAGTGCCTAAGGGGATCTAGAAGAGGGTAGATGCTTCCAAGGGAAGGGAGAACAGGTTGTAAGGGGTTGGTACTGGGGGATGAAGGTTTTAGTGGGGCCGGGCAGGGGATGGGGCTGGAACGAGGGCAAAGTGGTGGAAGCAGGATGAGGCTACAGTGGAGTCAGGGTCTGCGACTGTAGGGTCTGCACTCATGGCGAGGGTTGGGGGATGCTCCTTGGAAGCCAGGGCTGGATGTAGGCTGAGGGGAGCCTGGGATTGGCGGGCCAGGGCCAAGGAGAGAAGACAAGGCCAAGGGGACAGGGGATCGGGGACAGCAGGCAGCCTAGGCCTCGGGGGCAGGCTGTGGGCAGGGGCTGTTCCCCGGGCGCTGGGAAGCGGCTGGGCCCGAGCAGGGCCCGGGCTGGGAGGGTGGCTGCCGGAGCCCAGGCCGGACGCGCGCAGAGGCTGCAGCCGAGGGGAAGGGATGCGGGGAGGACCAACCTGGGTCGGGTCTGGGCAGCAGCTTCCTCACTGGCACGACTCAAGCGCCGGGGCTCGGCGATCCAGGCAGCTGCTGCCTTGGCCCAGGCGGCGTCCTCTGCATGGCCTCCATCTTGCTCGGGTTCTCCCCGGGGCGCGCTCTCGCGCCGAGGCGCGTGCTCCTGTGCACCGGCGCGGCGAGGCCGGGGCGCGCACCAGCGCGGGCGTGAGGAACCGAGCCGGGCGGAACGGGGGAGGGGCCCGCCTGGTTCTGGCAGCTAGAGAGAAGGTGAGGCACCGTGTCCCCGAGGTTCCCTAACCAGAGCCACCAATCATTTGACAGCAGCAGGGCCCCCTGACTTCTGGGATTTTCTTCTGCCAGCCTGAGTGATTCAGGGTCCCCACAAAGTGCGTGGGAATGGGGGAGGGACCCAACGAGCATTACCTGATAGGCGTTGAACTGAATCTCTTTGCTTCCCATTTACCACCTACAGCCTATGACAGTGCCTGACGGCACACCATTCCAATTCCAGTCCTTTGGGTCTTGGAGGCGTTGAAGGTTCCCAGAGTGTCTCCTAGGAAACTGTCAACATCTCCTGAGAGAAGGAAACTCCCCAAGTGTTCACACACCACGCCTGCATGGGGGATTCCTTGGCCACCCGCGCAAGGAGATGGGCCCAGGGAATAGGACCCAGGGCAAGTACCAAGAGATGACTCGGCTGGGTAGCTGGTTTCCCTTTCAACCTTCCCCAGTGCCAAACGCGACGCCTGGCATGAAGTAGGCACATCATGAAGATCTAAACAGCAAAACCTAAAAGTCAAGGCTGGTGGAAACCCCAGGGACACTCCAAGGGGGCAGTTTGACTCTTTTTCTGCTAAAAACTAGAACACCACCTTTGGGAACAGGACAAACTCTGTGACCTTGCCCCTGAGCTTTTTGAACCTCTGCTTCTCCATGTGTAAAGTGAGCAAATTGTGTCCCACTTCACAGGTGTGCATGTGTGTGTGCAAAATAATCCATGTTAGTGATCCCAAACAGTGGACCACACACAGGAGTGGGTTTTCTGAAATTCCTATCTATCTAAAAAAAAAAAAATCATGCAAGAGTTTCAAAATGTCTTCTTCCCAGAGGAAAAAGAAACTGCTCGTTTTTTCTGATTCTGTACTTTGTAAAACTCTACTTTGACTTTTTTTGGGGGGGGGCGTTCAGATAGGGTCTTGCTAAGTAGTTGTAGCAGGTCTGGAGCTCACTATGTAGACCAAGCTAGCCTTGGACTTGTGGCAATCTTCCTGTCTGCACCTCCCAATTTCTGTGATTACAGGTATGAGCTAACTCACATGGTTTGTCCAATGCCAGGGATTTAATGCCAGGGCTTTGTGTATGCTAGGCAAACACTCTACCAACTGAGCTACATTTAGGACCAACATTTGCAGCTTCTAATTAATGGTGGATGGTTACAGGGAGAGTTTTATTTTTTAAAATGTCTTTATAAGAAACAAAAAGCCTTATTTCAATCTCAAAATGCAAAGGAAATATAATCTATGAAATCCCATGATTTGGGACCTCAGGTCCATTGCCCAGGGTCTGAGCACAGGGTACACAGTGAAATCGTTTTCTCTTTTACTCTCTCTCTTTTTTTAAAAAGATGCTTTTTTTCTTTTTGGCGTTTTTGAGACAGGGTCTCCCTGTAGCCCCAGCTGTCCTGGAACTCACTATGTAGACCAGGCTGGCCTTGAACTCACAGAGATTTGCCTGCCTCTGCCTCCCAAGTGCTGGGATTAAAGGCATGCACCACCACGCCCCGTGCTTTTACTCTCCTTTCAGGATTTTTTTTTTAATGTGTATGAATATTTTGCCTGCATGTATGTAAGTGTAACTGTGTTGTCATGCAACACCCACAAAAACCAGAAGAGGGCCTTGAATTCTTTGGACCTGGATTACAGAGTTGTTAGCTGCCATGTGGGTGCTGGGAATTGAACCCAGGTCCTCCACAAGGACAGCCAGTGCTCTCAACTGCTGAGCCATCTCTCCTGCCCCAGTTTTACTCCCTGTTTTTAGTTTTACTTCCAGGCTACCTCCTGAGGGTCCTGGCTGTCCTGGAATCATGTACTGGAGGGGCTGATCATGAAGCCTCCTTCTAAACCTCCCACTTCACAGATGGGGATAGAAGCCAAGGAAGAAAACTGACTTAGCCATGGAGGGAGAGAGAGCTGCCCTGTCAACCAGACTGACCAACCTCATTCATGAACTTATCCTCCACCCAGTAAACTGGGATGAGGCCCCTGAAGTGTGCCCAGGACAGGTGCTATGCCAGGAACTGGAGAGAGGAGGGCACATAAAATAGATGGAGTTCACAGCTCTATAAGGAGAGGGAAGGTGCAGGAAGAAGGGAACAGGAGAGGTCACCCTCCAAGAGCATCTTCATGTCTCCTGTTGTGAGTGCTCCCAGTTTGTGTGCTTTTTGGAACAATCGCCAGTCTCCTTGCTCTACTCCCTACTCTTCCACAGATTATTACTAACCTAGCCTGCTGACCCAAGCTAGGCAGTCCCGGAAGAAAAGGACATAGAAAAGTCCACAGAGTTCTTGCTAGGATGAGCCCATGGCTCCCCTCTGCAGAGCAAAGGCACACTATGAAGTTTTTCTTACACCTCTTCTGACAGTAGTGCTTTTACCTTACAGAGCCCTCTATTCCTTGTCACTCAGCTCCTAGGTTGATCCTAATAAGATCAGTTTTTGCTTAAATCAGTTTTTTTTTAAAGATTTTCCTTGTGGTTGTTTTGTTATTTACAATATAAACAGTTCTAAATGACTCACCTACATTCCTCCAAAAGAGATAGCAAGAGCTTATATATTGAGTTGGTTGGTTGTTGAGACAGGGTCTTCTGTAATCCAGGCTGGCCTTGAACCTATTTAGCTGAGGATGACCTCAAACTCCTGGTCCTCCTGCCTCCACCTTCCAATTTCTGGGACTGCAGGCATACATCACCTACCCAGCTTCTTTGTTCTGGTTTGTTGGTTTGGTTTGGTTTTGATAGAATGTCTAAATATATGAGCTACTGACACCAGAATTAAAACACCAGAATTTGAGACCAAACTCTGCCATGTATGACCTATATAACCCAGGATACAGACACTATTTGAGGGAATGAGGGAAGAATTAAGACAGGGTCTCTTGTAACCCAGGTTGATCCTGTATTTATTCTAGATCCTCCCAAGCCTTAGCCTTAGCATTTGGGAACTGCTAAGATTACAGGTGTGCATCACTACACCTAGACTTTTTGTTGTTGCTGTTATTTTGAGGCAGCCCCAGCTGATCTCCAACTTGCAGCAATCCTCCTGCCTCAGCCTCCTAAGCACTGGGATTACCAGAGGAGCTATCACATCCAGTTTCTGATGGTACTCATAAGAGTCTTATTTTCTTTATTTTTAAGGTAGAGAAAAAAATACACTTCTTTCTCACAGATGCTAGGGGGATTAAAACAGATAATGGATAGAAAAGAGCTTTATAAGTAGAAAAAGGCTACAAATAAAAGTGATTATCATTAAATTTTAATAAGTGGCAGAAGTCTCGGAAATGCACTTGCTGAACTGTGAGGAGACAAGACAGGATGTGTTCTCATTTCAGAGAGCAAACTTGGAGCAGCTACAGAAAGAAACTATAAGACTGGTTCACTGGAAAAGCATCTTATTTGGTCCAGGAAGGGGCCAGGCAAGAATGGAAGAGTGACAGGATTAGCATGAGAACCACAAAGCCTGTAATTCCAGTGCTTGGGGAGCTGAGGCAGGAGGATGGCAAGTCCAAAGCCAGCCTGGCAACATAGCAAGATCCTGATTCACTATTTAAAAGACCAGGCCTGTAGTTCAGTGATGGAGTACTTTCTGGTGTGTATGAGATTCTGGGTTCCATCCCAGCAGAGAGAGAGAAAGAGAGAGAGAGAGAGAGAGAGAGAGAGAGAGAGAGAGAGAGCGCTGTGGTGGTACATGTATGTAATTCCAGCACTTGGGAGGTGGAGGGAGAAGAATCAGGAAGTCAAGGTTATCCTCAACTATATAGCAAGCCCCAACCTGGGCTACATGAGATCTTGTCTCAAAAGAACAAGAAATAAATGTAAAAGGTGGGGAGGGGGTAAGAGGGCAGGGGAAATACTCAGTAAGTAAAGTGCTTGCCATGCAAGTGTGAGGGGCTGAGTTCAGATACCCAGCACCATGGAAAGCAAACAAAAACAAAATAAACCAGGGGCTTACTGGCTAGCTAGCCAAGTTCCAGGCTCAGTAAGAGAACCCGTCTCAAAAAAATAAGGTGGAAAGCAATTGAAGACACTCTACGTAAACTTCTGGCCTCCACATGTATACACACATGCATACATACACCAAATACACTTAAAAAAAGGAAGGAAGGAAGGAAAGAAGGAAGGAAGGAAGGAAGGAAGGAAAAAAGAAAAAAATACCTGGGCGTAATGGCACACGTCTTTAATCCCAGCACTCCAGAAGCAGAGGCAGGTAGATCTCTGTGAATTCAAGGCCACCCTGGTCTACATAGTGAGTTCCAGGCCATCTGGGGCAACAGGGAGACCCTGTCTCACAAAGACTAAAAACAAAGAAAAAAAAAGTCAGGCAATCATAAGGGAAGGATGATGCCGGTGGAGTTCCTGAATGAGATGGTCCCTGGAGTTCCTAGTGAGGAACATTTATAACTGCTTAAGTGCACACTTAGGTCTATGACTGTTGGTCTCTTGCTACATTCTAGGTCCCCCATCACTGCTGTGCACACACTGTCTCATTTAATCCTCCCAATAACCCTTAGACATGATGTGATGAGCTGAATTGTGTCTGTAACATTGTCCCTATGTTAGATCCTAACCCTTGGCAATGTAATTGTGTTTGGAGATAGAAGGCTTTAAAGAGGCAAGACAAAATGAACTCCAATGGGTATCCCTTATCCAATACCACTGGTGGCCATACAAAAAGAGGCTGAGGCACAGACAGTACTCAGACCAAGAGGCAACCATGTGAGGACACAGCAAGGGTTAAGACACACAATTTATTTGATTATGAGAGTCCTGCAGAACAGGCACCAAACTGTGAGCCAATAAACCCTCCCTTTACTAAGTTGTTTTTATCAAGTGTTTTATTACAATACCAAGAAAAGTGACCAATACTATAGGAAAT